AAAAAATTTTTTTTCCCCCCGGGGAAAAAAAAAAAAAACCCCCCCCCCCCCCAAAAAAACCGAAAACCCCAAAACCCCCCCCCCCAAAACCCGACACCTTTAAAAAATTTTTCAAAAAACCCCCGGCCCCTTTTTTTTTTTAAAAAAAAAGGTTTCCCCCCCCAAAAACTCCTGGGGGGGGGGGCCCCCCCCAAACCTTTTTCCCCGGGCCTTTTTCCGGCCCCCCCAAAACCGGGAAAACCCCCTTTTCCCCCCCTTTTTACCAAAAGGGCCCAAATTCCCGTCCCCCCCAAATTCCCCCCCCCCCCTTTAAACCCGGCCCTTTTGGGTTTGGGCCCTTTTTTGGGGGTTAAAAAACCCCCCCCCCGGGGGGGGGAAAAAAACCGGCGTTTTTTAAAAAGGCTTTTCCCCCGTCCCCCCCCAAATTTTTTTGGGGGCCTTTTTAAAACCCCCTAAAAGGGGCCCCTTTTTCCCTTTTTTCCCCCTTTAAAAACCCCCCCCAAAACCCCCCAAAATAAAAAATTTTTTTGGGGGGCCCCCCCAAAAAGGGTTTAAAAAACCCTTTTTGGGGGGCCCCCGGCCGGGCCCCTAAATTTTTAAAATTTCCCGGGAAACCGGCCCCCAAAATTGGGGGGGCCCCAAAAAAACCCCCCCTTTTTTTTTAAATAAAAGGGGCCCCCCAAAAAACCCAAAAAAAACCCCCCCCCTTTTCCCCCCCCCCAAAACCAAAAACCCCCCCCCCAAATTTCCCCCCCCCCCCCCCCTTTTTTTAAAAAGGGGGCCCCCAAAAAAAAATTTTTTTTTTTTTTCCCCCCCCTTTTTTCCCCCGGGCCCAAAACCGGGGCCCCCAAAAAAACCCCCCAAAAAAAACCCCCAAAAACCCGGGCCCCCCCCCCAAAACCCCAAAACCCCCCCCAAAAAAAAAAACCCCCCTTAAACCCCGCCCCCCCCCCCCAAAAAAAAAAAAAAACCCCCCCCAAAACCCCCCCCTTAAAAACCCCCCTTTAAAAAAACCCCCCCTTTAAAAAAACCCCCCTTTCAAAAAAAAAAAAACCCCCCCCAAAACCCAAAAACCCCCAAAAAACCCCCCAAAACCCCTTTTAAAAAAACCCCGGAAAAATTCCCCCCCCCCCCCAAAAAAACCCCCCCAAAAAACCCCCCCCCCCAAAAAAAACCCCAAACCAAAAAAAAAAAAACCCCCCCAAAACCCCGGAAAAACCCCAAAAAACCCCAAAAAAAAAAAAACCCCCCAAAACCCCTGGGGGGCCCCCCTTTTTCCCTTTTTTTAAAAAAAAATTCCTTTTTTTTTGGGCCCTTTTTTTTTTTAAAAAAAAGGGGGGCCCCCTTTTGGAAACCCCGGGACCCCCCGGGGGCCCCCGGGGGGGTTTCCACTCACCCCCTTTCCCTTTAAACCCCCCCTTTGGGGAAAAAGGAACTTTTAAACCCTTTTTCCTTTAAATTTTCCCACCCCCCTTTTTAAAAGGTTTTTAAAAAATTTCCCCAAAAGGGCCAGGGGGCCCAACCACAAATACGGCCCCGGAAAAAAAAAAATTTTTTAAAAAAGGGCCCCCCTTTTTTTTTTCCCCCCCCCCCCCCCTTTTTTTTTTTAAAAAAATTTTCCCCGGGGGGGGGGAAAACCCCCCCGGGGGTTTTCCCCCTTTTTTTTTTTTCCCCCCTTTTTGGGGGGGCCACCCCCCCTTTTTTTTTTTCCCCCCCTTCCCCCCCCCCCCCCCCTTTTTTTTGGGTTTTTTAAAACCCAAAACCCGGGGGGTTTTTTTTGGGGTTGTTTTTTTTTTTTTCCCCCCAAAAATTTTTGGGGGTTTTTTTTTTTTTTTTAAAAAAAAAAACCCCCCCCCCAAATTTCCCCGGGGTTTGGGTTTCCCCCCACCCCCCCCGCCCACCCCCAAAAAACCCCCCCCGGGTTTTTCCCCTTTGGGTTTAACCCCAAAAAAAAAAAAAACCCCTTTTTTTTTTTTTTAAAATTTTTAAAAAAGGGGGGTTCAAAAACCCCCAAAAAAACCCCCTTTTTTTTTTTTCCCCTTTAAAAAATTTGGGGTTAATTTTTTTTAAAAGGGGGGGCCTTTTTTTTTTTTTTTTTTGGGGGGGAAAAATTTTTTTTTTTTTTCTTTTTTTTTTTTTTTTAATTTTTTTTTCTTTTTTTTTTTGTTGTGTTTTTTTTTTTAATTTTTTTTTTTTTTTTTTTTAAAAATTTTGGAAAAAAATTTTTTTTTAAAAAAATTTGCCTTTTCCCCCTTTTAAATTTTAATTTTTTTTTTAACCTAATTTTTTTTTTTTTTTTTTTTTTTTAAATTTTTTTTTTTTTTTTTCCCTTTTTTTGGGTTTTTTTTTTTTTTTTTTTTTTTTTTTTTCCCCTTTTAAAACCCCCCAAAAAGAAAAAAAAAATTTTCTTTTTTTTTAAAAAAAAAAATTTTTTAATGTTTTTTTTTTTTTTTTCCCTGATTTTTAATTTTTTTTTTTTTTTTTTTTTTTTTTTTAACTTTTTAAAAAATTTTTTCCCTTTTTTTTTTTTTTTTTTTTTTTTTGTTTTTTTTTTTTGGGGGGGGAAAAGGTTTTTTTTGATTTTTTTTTTTGGGGAAAAAATTTTTTTTTTGATTCTTTTGGGAAAATTTTTTAAAAAAATTTTGTGTTTTTAAATTTTTTTAAAAATTTTTTGGGTTTTTAAATTTTTTTTTTTAAAATTTATTTTTTCCAAAAAAAGGGGTTTTTTTTTTTTTTATTTTTTTTTTTTTTTTTTTTTTTTTTTTTTTTTGGGTTTTTTTTTTTAAAAATTTTTTTTTTATTTTTATTTTTTTTTTTTTTTAAAGGAAAAAACCCCAAACCGGGGTTTTTTTTTTAAAAAAAAGGGAAAAAAGGGAAAAAAATTTTTTTTTTTTTTTTGGGGAATTTTTTTTGTGGGTTTTTTTTTTTTTTTTTTTTTTTTAAAAATTTTTAAGTTTTTCTTCCATTTAATTTTTTTTCTCCCTTTTTTTTTTTTTTTTTTTTGGGGGGTTGGGGGTTTTTTTTTTTTTTAAAAAAAAAAAAACCCCCCCCAAAACCCCCCCTTTTTTAAAAAAAAACCCCCCTTTTTTTTTTTTTTTAATTTTTTGGGGGGGGGAAAAAAAAATTAAATTTTTAAAAATTTTTGGGGGGGGGGGGGGGCCCGGGGGAAAAAAGGGGCCCCCCAAAACCCCCCCTTTTTCCCAAAATTCCCCCCTTTTTTTTGGTTGTTTTTCCCGGGGGCCCCCCGGGGGGGCCCAAAATTTCCCCTTTTTTCCCCCCCCCAAAAAAAAATTTTTAAAGGGGGAATTTTTGGGGGGTTGTTTTTGTTTTTGGTTTGGGTTTTTTTAGTTTAAAATTTGGGGAAAAAATTTTTTTTTTTAATTTTTTTTTTTTTTTTTTTTAAAACCCCCCTTTTTTGGGGGAAAGGGGTTTTAAAAAAAAATTTTTTTTTTTTTTTTCCCGGGTTTTTTGAGATTTTCCCCCCCCCCCCTTTTTTTTTTTTTTTTTTTTCCCGGGGGGGTTTTTCCCCCCCCTTTTTTTTTTAAAAAAAAATTTTTTTCCCCAAAAAAAAAAGGAAAAAATTGGGCCTTTAAAAAAATTTTAAATTTTTTTTAATTTTAAAAAATTTTTTTTTGGGGGGTTTTTTTTGGTTTTTTTTTTTATTTAAAATTAAAAAAAAAAAAACCCTTTTTTTTTTTTCCCTTTGGGGCTTTTAAAATTTTTAAAAAAAACCCCTTTTTTTTTTTTTGGGGGGAAAAAAGGGTTGAAACCCCGGGGGCCCCCGGAAAAATAAATTTAAAATTTTTTTATTTAATTTTTTCCCCCCCCTTTCCCGGGAAAATTTTCCCCCCCTTTTTCCCCCCAAAATTAAACCCCCTTTTTTTTTTTAACCCCCAAAAAAAACCCCTTTTTTTTTTGGGTTTTTTTTAAAAAAATCAATTTTTTTTTTTTTCCCTTTTTTTTTTTAAAATTTTTTAATTTGGGGGGTTCCTTTTTTTTAAAACCGAAAAATTTTTTTTTTTAAAATTTTTTAAAAATTCCTTTAAACCCCCAAAAAAAAAATTTTTTTTTTTTTTTTTAAAAAAAGGCCCCCGTTTTAAAATTTTTTTTTTTTGTTAAAAATTTTTTTAATTTAAAAAAAAATTTTTTTTTTTTTTTTTAAAAAAAGGGGGGGCCTTTTTTTAAAAAAAGGGGGGGGCCCCCCTTTTTTTTAAAAGGAAACATAGTTTTTCCCTTTTTTTTTTTAAAAAAAAAAAAAAATTTTTTTTAGGGTTTTTAACCCCCTTTTGGGGGTTACCCCGGGAAACCCCCCCGGGGGGGCCCCCCCGGCCCCCTTTTCCCCCCCCCTTTTGGGCCCCCCCAAAAGGGTTTCCTTAAAATTTTTAAAAATTTTTTCCCCCCAAGGCCCCCCCCTTTCCCAAAAAAAAAATTTTTTTTTTTTAAAAAACCCGAAAAAAACAAAACCCCCCAAAAAAACCCCCAAAAAGGCCCCCCAAAAAACCCCTTCCCAAAAAAAAAAAAATTTTTTAAAAAACCCCCCAAAAAAAAAAAAAAAACCCCAAAAAAAAACCCCCCCAAAAAACCCCCCCCAAAAAAAAAAATTTTTAAAAAAAACCCCCCCGGGGGGTTTTTTTAAAAAAAAAAAAAGGGGGGGGGGCCCCCCGGAAAAAGGCCCGGGGGTTTCCCGGGGGGGGCCCCGGGGGGCCCGGAAACCCCCGGGGGTTAACCAACCTGAAAGCCCCCTTTTTTTAAAAAGGGGGGGTTGGGGAAACCCCCCCTTTTTTGGGAAAAATTTTTTTTTTCCCCCGGGGGGGGGGGTTTTTTTGGGAAAAGGGGGGGGAAAACCCCCGGGGGGTTAACCCCCCAAAAAAAATTTGGATTTCCCCCTTTAAAAGGAAAAGGGCCCCCCCTTTTTTTTGGAAAATTTTTTTGGGAAAACCCCTTTTCCGGGGTTTTTTCCCCGGCCCAAAATTTCCCCCAAGGGGGAAAAAACCCCTTTTTGGGGGGCCCCCCCCGGGGGGGGGGGCCCCCCCCGAAAAATTAAAAAATTTTTTTTTAAAAATTTTCCTTTTTTTTTTTTCCCCCCAAAAATTTCCCCAAAAAAAGGAAAAATTTTTTTTAAAACCCCCAAAAGGCCAGGGGAAAAAAATTTCCCCAAATTTAAAAAAACCCTTTTAAAAAAACCCTTTAAAATTTAAAAAAAATTTTTAATTTTTTTTTTTTTTTTGGGAAAAAAAAAAAAAAAATTTAAAAGGAAAAAAAAAAATAAACAAAGGGGGAAAAAAAAAACCCAAAAAACCCCCCAAAAAAAAACCCAAAATTTTTAAAAACCAAAAAAAAATTTTTTTTTTAAACCCCCTTTTTTTTAAATTTTCCCCCTTAAAAAAAAATTTTTCCCCTTTTAACCTCCAAACCCCAAAAATTTTTTAAAAAACCCCCAAAATTTAAAAAAGGGGTAAACCCAAAACAAAAAATTTTTTTTTTTTAAAAAAAAATTTAAAATTTTTTTTTTTAAAAAAAAAAACGGGGCCCAAAAAAGGGGGGGGTTCCCCAAAAAAAAGGGGGGGGAAAAAAAAAAAATTTTTTTTGGGGGGAAAAAAAAAAGGGGGGGAAAAAAAAATTTTTTTTTAAAAAATTTTAAAAATTTTTTTTTTCCTTAATTTAAAAAAAATTTTAATTTGGGTTTAAACCCGGGGAAAAAAAATTTTTAAAAAATTTTTTTGGGAAAAAAAAAAAAAAAGGGGGGGGGAAAAATTTTAAAAAGGGTTGGGGAAATTTTAAAAATTTTTTTGGAAAAAACCCCCCTTTTTTGGGAAAAGGGAAAAAAAAAAAAAGGTTTTTTTAAAAAACCCCCCTTTTGAAAAGGGAAAGGTTTTTTTTTTAAAAATTTTTTTTTAAAAATTTTCCAAAAAATTTTTTTTTTTTTTTGGGGGAAAAAAATTTTTTTTTTAAAAAAAAAATTAAAAAAAATTTTTTTTTAAAGGGGAACCCCCCCCCCCTTTAAAAAAAGGGGTTTTTTTTAAAAGGAAATTTTTCCTTTTAAAAAAATTTTTTTTCCCCTAAAAATTTTTAATTTTTAAAAAATTTTTTTTTTTTTGGGGGGGGTTTTTTTAAACCCTTTAAAAAATTTTTTTTTAAGGGAAAAAAAAGGGGAAGGGGGAAAACTTTTTAAAAAGGGAAAAAAAAAAAACCCCCAAAAAAAAAATTTTTTTTTTTTGGGAAAAAAAAAACCCGGAATTAAAAAGGGGGAAAAAAAAGGGAAAACGGGGAAAAACGGGGAAAAAAAGGGGGGGGAAAAACCCCCCCAAAAAAAAAAAACCCAAAAAGGGGGGGAACCCGGGGGGGAAAAAAGGGGGGGGGGTTTAAAAAAGGAATTGGAAAAATGGGGCCTTCTTCCAAAAAAACCCAAAAAAAACCCCCGGAAAAAAAAAAAAAAACCCGGGAAAAGGGAAAAAAAAGGGGGGGGGGGAAAAAAAAGGAAAACCCAAAAAAAAAAAAAGGAAAAAAAATGTAAAAAATTTTAAAACCCTCCAAAAAAGGGGGGGGGGGGGAAAAAAAGGAAAGGGGAAAAAAAAAATTTTTTTTTTTAAAAAAAAAAAAAAAAAAAAAAAAAAAAAGGGGCCCCAAAAACAAGGGGGGAAAAAAAAAGGGAAAATTTTTCCCCCCCGGGGGAAAAGAGGCCCCCCCAAAAAAAAAAATTTTTATAGGGGGACCAAAAAAAAAAAACCCGGGGGGCCCCCCAAAAAAAAAAAACCCAAAAAAGGGGGGGGAAAAAAAAACCCCGGGGGAAAAAACAATTAAAAGGTTAAAAGAAAGGGGGGGAAAAAAAGGGGTTTTTTTTAAAAAAAAAATTTTCCCCCCCGGGGGGAAAAAAATTTAAAAAATTTTTGGGGAAAATTTTTTGGGGGGGGGAAAAACCCCCAAAAAAAAATAAAATTTTTTTTTGGGGGGGGGGGGGTTTAAAAAAAAAAACCCCCAAAAAAAAAAAAGGGGGGGCCCAAAAAATTTTTTTTTTGAAGGGCCCCCCCCGGAAAAAAAAATTAAAAAAAAGGAAAGAAAAATTAAAAAAATTTTAAAAAAAAAATTTTTAAATTTTAAAAAAGGGGAAAATTTTTTTTTGGGTTTTTTTTGGGCCCTTTCGGGGGGTTTTTTTTTTTTTTTTTTTTTTTTTTTTTTTTTGGGTTTTTTTTTTCCTTTTTAAAATTTTTTTTTCCCCAAAAAAAAACCCCAAATTTTAAATTTTTTTTTTTTTTTTGTTTAAGGGGAAATTTTGGAACCCCAAATTTTTTAAATAAAAACCCCCTTTTTGGGAAAATTTTAAAAAAAAAATTTTTTTTTTTTTTTTTTTGGGGGGAAATTTAAAAAATTTTAAAAAAAAAAAAACCTTTTTTTTTTTGGGGGTTTAAAAAAAAGGAAAATTTTTTTATTTAAAAAAAAAAGGGGGGAAAAAAAGTTTTTTTTTTTTTTGGGGGGTTTTTTTTTTTGGGGGGTTTTTTCCCCCCCCCCCCCCGGGGGGGGGGTTTTTTTTTTTTTTTTTCCCAAAATTTTTCTTTTTTCCGGTTTTTTTTCCCTTTTTAAATTTTTTTTTAAAAAACCCCCCCCCCCCCCCCTTTCCCCGGGCCCCCTTTTTTTTTCCCCCAAAACCCCCCCCCCTTTTTTTAACCCCCCTTTTTTTTTTTTTAAAAAAATTTTTTTTTTTTTGGGGTTTTCCCCAAAAGGGGTTTTTTTCCCTTTTCCCCCTTAACCCCCAAAACCCAAAAGGGGGGAAAAACCCCTTTTTTTTTTTTTAAAAAAAAAAAGGGGGGGGGGAAAAAAAAACCCCCCCCAAAATTTTTGGGGGGAAAAAAGGGGGGAAAAAAAAGGGGGGGGGGGGAAGGGGAAAAAAAAAAAGGGTTTTTTGGGGGGAATTTTTTCCCCCCCCCGGGGGGGTTTTTTTTTTTTTAAAGGGGGGCCCAAAAACCTTTTTAAAGGAAAAAAAGGGGGGGGGCCAAAAAAAACCCCGGGGGTTTTTTTTTTTTTTAAAAAATTTTCCCCCCCCCCCCCCCCCTTTTTTTTGGGGCCCCTTGGGGGAAAAAGGTTTTTAAAAAAAAAAAAAAAATTTTGGGGGTTTTTTTTCCCCGGGGGGGGGGGCAATTTTGGGTTTTAAAAAAATTTTTAAAAAAACCCCCCCCTTTTAAAGGGGGAAAAAATTTTTTTGGGGGGGAAAAAATTTGGAAAAAAAAGGGATAATTTTATTAAGTTTTTGGGGGGGTTTTTTTTCTTCCGGGGGGGGGGAAAAATTTTTTTTTGGGGGGGGGGTTTGGGGGGTTTTTTGGGGTTTTTTTAAATAAAAATTTTTCCCCGGGGTTTTTTCCGGGGGGTTTTTGGGGGGGGGAGGGGGTTTTTTTTCCCCCCCCCCGGGGAAAAACCCCCAAAAAAATTTTGGGGGGTTTTTAAAAAAATTTTTTTGGGGGAAAAAAATTTAAAAAATTTTAAATTTTTAAAAAAAAAATTTTTTTAAAAGGGGGGGGGGGGGGGCCCCCCCCCCCAATTTTTTAAAAAAAAAAAGGGGGGGGTTTTTTAAAAATTTAAACAAAAAATTTTTTAAAAAACCCCCCCGGGGGAAAAAAAAGGGGAAAACCCAAAAAAAATTTTTTTCCCCGGGGGGCCCCCCGGTTTGGGGGGTTTCTTTTTTCCCAAAAAAAAAAGGGGAAAAAAAAAAAAAGGGGGTTTTTTGGGGGTTTTTGGGGGGGGAAAAATTTTGGGGTATTTCCCGGGGGGAAAATTTTTTGGGGGTTTTTTTTTAAAAAAAAAACCCCCCGGGGTCCAAAAAAGGGGGGGGGTTTTAAAAAAAAGATTTGGGAAAAAAACGGAAATTTTTTTTTTAATTTCCAAAAAAATTTTTTTAAAAAAGGGGGGGGGAAAAGGGGAAAAAAAGGGGGGGTTTTTATTTTAAAAAAAGGGGGTTTTTTCCCCGGGGTTTTTTCAAAAAAAATTTTAAATTTTGGGGGGGGGTTTTTTAAAAAATTTTTTCCCCCAAATTTTTTTTAAAAAGGCCGGGGGGGAAAAAAAGGCCGGGGCCCCGGTTTTTAAATTTTTAAATTTTTCTTCCGGTTTTTAAAAAACCCCAAAATTTTTCCAAAAAAAATTCCAATATGAATTTGTTATTGTATAGAATCAGCCCAGATCCGCCTGCCTGTTCAGCCTATAGTATAGTAGTGTATGTCGGGACGACATACGTAACATGACCGAGCTGTCAGCATAGTTGCTGATCCCTGTATTCCCTGTATGATATAGGATAGCATAGTAGTATCATCCATATGCTTTAGACACGAGACCCCTTGTAGGCCTGTGGCTTTGTGTGACGTCACGGGATACACATGTGCAGGCTCATCCCTCTGTCCCGGTCTCACTCGGCGGCAGACCATCCAGGCGTAGACAGGCAAGGCACTGGGCTCCATTCCTCATCTCAGTCTGACAATATAGCTACCATCCTACAAGTGTGTCTACCTTAACCTACGATATCTCCATTAAGAACCCTTTACGATAACCAGACAGCTCCCTGAAGTACCAGACAGCTCCTTCAAATACCAGACAGCTCCTTCAAATACCAGACAGCTCCTTCAAATACCAGACAGCTCCTTCAAATACCAGACAGCTCCTTCAAATACCAGACAGCTCCTTCAAATACCAGACAGCTCCTTCAAATACCAGACAGCTCCTTCAAATACCAGACAACTCCTTCAAATACCAGACAACTCCTTCAAATACCAGACAACTCCTTCAAATACCAGACAACTCCTTCAAATACCAGACAACTCCTTCAAATACCAGACAGCTCCTTCAAATACCAGACAGCTCCTTCAAATACCAGACAGCTCCTATGTGGAGGTGTTCTATCATCAGGAAACTACTTGGAGTATACTTGGAGGGTGTTCCGGGGGTCAACGCCCCCGCGGCCCGGTCCATGACCAGGCCTCGCGGTGAATCAGAGCCTGATTAAGCAGTCTGTTGAAGCAAGACAAGTGTTTCCTGAGGCAGGTAAGGCGCACCCTGACTCGCTCACCCCATTGAGTGCATGGTAAGCAGTTACCACTGTGTGCATGGTAAGCAGGTACCACTGTGTGCATGGTAAGCAGTTACCACTGTGTGCATGGTAAGCAGTTACCACTGTGTGCATGGTAAGCAGTTACCACTA